ACTATTAAATTTGCTTTAAAATTAATGTATGTAATGTAGCTTTCTTATATGCAACACTAATCTCGAAGTAAATTGAATATATTGCAAGCTTATTCCCGTAAGAAAATTTTTCTATCACAAAATCATAAGATTTCTTAGAATTGTTGGTAGCGTACAGATACTTATTTTTCACATATAATAATAAGTAGGGAAAAAAAATAGATCTAATGCATATATTTCTGAAAAATTAAGGGTACCTTTGGGATCATTAATATTTCAAAATGTTCTTATTTTTTATTTTATAAAAGCAAATTAGCTTTTATCGAGAATGCTGAAAATAACTTTTCTATTTTTTTAATTATTTTAAAAATAATTATTACCATCAGCAGGGGTGTTAAAAATTGAGCTCACATTAACTCAAGTTGAAACAGACTTGAAAAATCTGATTTCAAGTTAACCCGATTAAATTTTTTCGAGTTAAAAATCTTAAACCATTTACTTTTTGGGTCGGGTTGAGCCATCAAACCGAAATTGGTCCGCCAACTAAATTATATTAAATCACTCGATTTTAGCATGAATAATTGTTATTCTTATGTTAAATAGGTTATACGGGCTGGGTTCAGGTTGGCAGGTGGAAGACGGGTCGTGTTAAGGTTTGATTTTCTGACCAATTTAATATTCGGGTCAGGTTATGGTCAACTTGCTTCGGGTCGGGTCAACTTCATGTCAAACCCAATAGACCTGCCAAATCCAATTGGACACCCCTAAAGTATTATCGCTTGCTCCCAACCTTCACTGCAACCCAACTCCTTCGATCACTACTGATCATGATAGCTATTTCATCGGCAGTCATGTCATCACACATAAATTAATTTTTCTAATATTCAATAAAAATAAAATTATATCTTAAAATATTAAGTATGTTTTATTTCAAATCATAGAGAGATGGAGCCAAACACCAATGTATAAAAGAGTTCTTGATAAGGTCAATGTTTATTTTTAAAAATTGATAAGATGTAGCTTCCTTTAATATTATGTTAATATGTTTTAACTAAGTGTAATCAATTAACAATTAATTTATAATTATAAGCAAATTTTGACATAACTTCTTCGTCCCTATTATGTTAATTTCATAAATGGAAATTTATATGAGAGATAAGTCGAAAAAAATGTAAGAAAAGGCCAAAAAAATGAACCTAAATTCCTCCGCCGGCACAGCACATGTGGAATGGATATCACAACCGCCATATGAGGCCCTCTACTGTTCTGTTTTTTCTGACTCCCAACCGCTCCAGTTCGAGCAAGGGACAATTCTCCATTTCTCCTCTCACAGTTCTTCATATCAGTTCATCAATTTCCTCCTAACCCTAACCCTAGCCAGAAAACAATGGAGGGAGAACGAAAGACACTCCGGTTCTACTGCATCGGGACCGTTGATACCAAGTACACGGAGCTACTCTTCCTCTCCGATCGGGTCAAATCCAATCTCATCGCCTTCACGAAAGGGTCTCCGTTCAAGGTACTCAAACCTCTCCGTCTCGCGATATTCATTCCCGTAAAATAGGATCGCGGTCTTGAGTTTCGCATATTGCTGTCGATCAAACTATAGGGCTTTTATTTTAGTCGGTATGCGGAGCGATTATTGTCTTTCTGTTTTTGTTTATGTTTATGTTTAAATGATAGTGTGACATTGAAGAAGAGGCATTTGTTCCGGTAAATGGGATGAGTCGTGGGCTTAATTGCTTACGTAGCTTAAGTAATTAAGGCGATTAAATGTATGATCTCATTTTTTTAACTGGAAGACATGCTATTTGTGAGTGTGATTTCTGTTTGAGTTTTAGCTATTATATGGATTGATGGGTGATTTGTTGTTATTAGCACGCTTATTGTGGCGGTGAGTTGGTGTCTTTGTATTGAGAAAGTTTGGGGATGGGAATTGTTGAAGGAGTTTTATGATTGACCCAAAACGTTTGGATGTGGTTTATGCGTTTGGGCATGTTTAATTCTTTTGGAGAATAGGAGGTATTTCTCTGTGAATGGATGATTGAAGAAGAGATAATGTGGAACCTTCTTCACATGCTAGATTTCTTTATTATTTAATCGGGAAGATTGATTTGCTAAGAATAGTTGGGTTATTTCTTACCTTGCAATGGTTATGGACGTTAATATACATCCTTCATGATGCATAATTCAATCTTAACATGTAAAATGCCTAAAACATCTCCCTAACTGATGCGGATGCTAGATTAAATCATGCAAAATTAGCCAGACAAGCATAAATGATAATAATTTCATAATTTAGGATTTATCCACAAGACTCTAGTCTAGAGGGTTTGTAAATCATGGCTATGATCTTGTAACTTTAACTAATGTCTAAGATGTGCTGTAACGATGGGTCTTAAGTTGAGGAGGGTATCACGACCATTAAAATAGAGCCATTGAACATATTTTTATTTTGGAAAATTTACATACATAGCACCCAATTCTCATGCATTTACTTATCTCACACCCATGTTTTGATTTTTACATGGTAAGCACCGTAACCTATGTATGAAAAGGTGGATTACACTATTTTCACCCTTTCATGCATAGGAAAAGGTGCTTACCATGTAAAAATCAAAGTTTGGGTGTGAGATAGGTAAATTTATAAGAATTGGGTGCTATGTATGTAAATTCCCCCTTTCTTTTTTAGCTTCTTCATATGTTGTTTCCTGTCACTTAAGTAGCAACTACCGGTTTCCTAATTCAATGCAATCTCCTTATGGACTATGGTCGGAGTTCTTTATGTTTCAATGAAGTTATCAATATGATAGTTTTATTGGCCTAATATTAATTACTATTATGTCTGGTAGGGCTGTAATCAAACCAAATAAAGTCTAAGTGGTGTACCATGTATTGGACTTGATTTGTTTATATTAAAAGTTGTTCATGTTCAACTCAAACTTGAATTGAGTTTTTATAAATATGTTAAATTTGTCTTATTTAATTTCTTTCATGATTGAGTTTAGCTTATATTTGTCTAAATTAATTGTACGAGTACTTAAACAAATTAATAAAATTCTAAAAAAATAAATGTGTACTTGGTTATTATATTAACAAATAATTTTTCTAGACTAAATAAATAAATAGTTCAATAAAAATGCTGAACCAATATCTAACTATTTGACACTAATTAAATAAACATAATTTAAAACTAATACTAAATAAATCATGGACACGTATTCATGTAAAATAATTTAATGCTAATAAGTCACCAGTTGAAATTAACGAAAGAAGACATGGCATCTAAGTAATGTATAGATTCACTAATAATAGCATATCACTTTGATCTCATTAGAGTCAATATGTTTTACTAAAATTAAGAAACTCGATGAGAAATAAGGGCAATAAAATTTGAAACTCCTTTTTATACCCTTCACTTTTTATCAACAAAATGTTCAATGATAATTATATTTTGAATTTTCTTTGTCTTGACCTCCACTAATATGTTCGTATGCTAGCTATTCCAATTGAACTTAATGACCATTTCAATATTTTCTTCTCAATCTAGTAACTACTAATGCAATCTTATTTGGCCATCTCATGGGAAATCCTCTTATAATACATTCTATTTTGTACATTGTTGGATTGATCATCGAAAGAATTTTAGTACTAGAATCCATATTTACTAGTTATAAATCAAGAGCTAGAGATTGTGAACCATAAATCTTGAGATAAGACATTTGA